TAATAGCTGTAAATTAGCTCGATGGGCAGTTCAGAGCATTTTGGCTGGTGCCGATCAGATGAAATTAGGGTAATTATTTGCAATTAGGTTTCTATAATATCAACATAAATCAACCGATTTTTATAATTTGATGTAGATATGTTTCGCGCGCTAACCCGAAAGACAATCGCCGTCATGTGATATTAGGCACACAGTATTATAAACCTCGTGATTTTGCTGCACAGATGAACATGTCAGTTTCTAATGGATGGGGCATTGTGCGGACTGTTATAGATATTTGTATGAAGTTGCCCGAGGGTAGATATGTATTACTTAAAGATCCGAACAAGGTAAAGTTACTCATAAATCTATTCAAATAGTCCAAAAGGCATTTAAACTAACATTCATAGTTAATATGTATTTAGCCTGTAGTTCGTCTGTACTCTGTTCCTCCAAATACATTTGAAATTGAAGATCCTCTTCTTGATGAAGGAGATGAATTAGAGGAGGATGAAGATGATGTAATTGAGACAAGATAGCAGTGATTGTGCGGTTAATGTAGATATTCCTTCAAACAATTTTTTATTGACTTTATAATCCTGTTTGTTCTGACAGAATGGTTCGGTTTAACCAAAAAAACATCAATTTACTGAATAAATACTGATTATTTAAAATTACCAATTTTAAAGATTTTGTTATAAAGTATTTTTTAATTGCATGTTTATTATCACATAAAGAATTTTCAGCTGGATGATGGTTGAAAATGGAATTTATATTACGTACGTACGTAAATAACCTATTACCATCGGGTTTATTTTGTGAAATTATCGTTGTGTACAATTTTACAGTAATCCAAATATGCGTGGCTGTTACTTCGTTTTTAATTTTTGTTAATCCTGGCTCCAGATTCTAATTAGATAATTTCGTTACAATTAACCGTTATTCCGTATACATTTTACAGTATATAGACATGTTTATATAACAAATAATTTGAAAACTTTGGATTAATAAATCATAAGCTTTAACAAATTTAAACTTTATTTATTCCATATTTAAAAGAAATTTCACATTGATAAATAATTACTATTAAAATTAAAATCACTATAATTTATTATAAAAAATCATTCAGTGTAAATTTTTGACCCCACAACATAACAAGTCTGAATATTATTAGTTGAGGGCACATTTTTGTATGATATACTTTTGTTGCATACTTTTGAAAAACGGGTGGTATCCAAAATCAAAAATGACCAAATATAAGTCATTAAAATTTTACTTTTGAATACGCACAAATTAAATGTATGGATAAACGATAAATAGAAGTAAAAAAAGTGATATGAATGGATTAAGCATATTTTTAAAATGCAAATGAAAGTGAAAATCCGACAACTAATTGGTGCGTTTGTGATTTTTTTCGAAAATTTCTTTTTTTTTCTTTTTTTTATCTTTTTCCTTTTTTTTTTCTTTTTTTGGTTAACCTCGGATTTTCATGAAAATAGTTATAGCGGCAATTAATGAAAAAATAAAATTATAATAAAGGACGAAATAAAAGTTGGATTAAAGAAAGGAATGAAAACGCAGTATACTGCTTTTTCTGGAAGCCAAAATGCACATGAGTAAAATCAAACCCCAAAGCCAAAGTCCAGTCAAAGATGTAGGTACATTTTGCTGATATGACAGGGTAGACTGAATATTGGGCATTTTGCAAGGATGAATTTGAGTTGTACACAGTCACAATGTCGAACAACTATGTCTCAGTAGCGATCGGAGTATCTTGCACACCTTTCGCAATAACATCCACCAAAACCTCTGCTCTACCAACAGCCTGTAACTTGACAACAGCCCGAGTCTCACCCACTTCTTTCGGTTGAAAACGTACTGGTAATGTAACAGATGCACGAGGCTTTATTTGAACACTTGACAAAGGTATCGACAAATTAGAGCCTGAGGTATTCCCTATTACTTCACATTTGCATTTAATCCGTACGAGCTGATTTGATGGATTATTTATATTAATCCCAACTGATCTACGTCTCCCAATTCTCGTTGCAGGTATTTGAATTTCAGATTCAGAAACTTCAAAGTCCATCAACTTCGATCCACTTTTTTTTGTATCAGCTTTGATTGGGTTAGATACATCAGCCTTTCCTTCACCTTGAATACGAACACTAACACCACCCAATCCACCAGAACCTTCCGAGCTAATTGAATCCTCTAACATAAAACTTTGATAATAAGTGCCAATGAAAATGGGGCGAAAACTTATATCAACTCTTTCAGTTTGACCAGCTCGGAGCAACCCGCTGGTTTTCATTATCAAAAAGACTTCCTCATTTATTTTTTGGGCAGAATTGGTTGTATCAGAACGACGCAGAAAAGGATTTGTTGCAGTAGTAAGATGCCAAGTAACTGGTTTATTGGTCGGATTATGAATACGAAATACGCTATGGTTTGTTTCGCGAATCACGGTTGTTGGGCAACTAATGTTGCCAGGAACACCGATGTATATGAAATTCTTGCGTTGTGGAAATTGCTTTCCAGATTTGGACTCATCAGGTGTGCGTGAACGAGTACCAGGTAAAGGTGACACGATTTGTCTGTAAGTATCAGGAGTATTCGGTCGGCTGCGAATTGAGGTTGTAGAAGGATATTTTCGAATGCCAGGGTACTTATTATTACTTTCCGGGCTACTGGAACGACTAGTGTGTCCACTTAATATGCTCTTTTTTGTAGCAGATGAACTTATAGATTTGACAGTAGATCCTGGAGCCTTGCTTATGCTTACAGAAGACTTCCCTTTGTTACCAGCTGACCGTGATTTATCTTCGATCTTAGTAGTTTTTTTCGTTCTTGCTGCTTTAGCGGCCCTAATAAGATTATCTACTTTCTGTGAGATACTCCTTCGTATGAAGCTTCCATCCTCTGAATTTTTTACATTTTTTGAAGATCGTGCTGCTTCAACTTCACCCTTCGCTTTCTTCTTTACTTGTACAATATCGACTACAACTTCTTTTCTCTCTCCATTTTCACAAAGTACCAATATTCTGGTTCTGCCCATCAAAGGTTTATTATAGTCGTTGGATTCTGATCCTTTAAGGATTCCCATTAGCCTCCTTGAATCTTTGGTCTCATCACGTCGTGCACCTGCAGCGAAATGCTTATTCATAACCGAAATTTTAACAACGGTCACGCTTTGAGCTTTAACAATGCCATATGCGGGACTGACATCAAATCGGAATGCAGGCCATAGTATTTCATATCGGAGAGGTTCATCTGTATTGTTTGAAATTGTAAACGTGGTTTCGAATAACGGTTTGGCATTATGTTTTGCTAATGAGGAACTACTTGGGTTACTTCGGAGTGAAAGCGAAGTAGATGACGCGTTGGGACTAGCTGCATTTACTGAAGGCCCTCCAACTACCGTTAAATATTCTGGTGAAACTCTCATTCCGTGTGGCTCTTCAACGACCTCTTCAATGATCTGTTGATTCAATACATTCATAGAAGTGGGTGACTGAATTTTCTTTTCATCCGTACAAGGCTCTGTGAGATCCACTTCTTCGCTAGACCAGATGCCAATTTCATCATCCTCATCCTCTTCATTAATTGTTTCTAGTGTCTCTTCTAATACTTGCACTGTTTGTGATTTTTTTGAGTCTGATATGTCGCTCACGGGTGATTGTAATGAATTATGTGATTCTTTTACAGGGCTAGCCAGTCCAAACTTTCTACCTAATATGCTTGGACTATGACGTTGATGATATTTTCTTAATTGTCCTAATGTCTTTTTTGCCCATATATTCCCTACTTTCCCTATATGATCTGCTGGATTATCCTGGTTTTGTGATTCTTTATGTTTCTCTCTAGCAGGACTAAAAGGTCTCTTTGGCCATCGCCACGATGTCATCGATTTAACAGATGCAGGGGTAGTTGATGCCAATAAGGTTGATGGTGTTGCTGGTGCGGATGGAAATGGTGATGTGTCCGATTGATCAGGTGATCGTATTAATTCTTGTCGAGCGCTTGTAGTAGATGATTCTGCATCTTCTTCATCTTCGGTCTCTGACAGCATTGGTAATGGGGTTTTAACCGTTAGCATATGAGTTGCAGTTCGCCTAGATTGTATAGAGGGAATTGAAGGAAATAAACGGCGTGTGATTTTTGCGCTGGTTGATTTTCTTATGGACTCTGATCTAGGTTCTTCTGTATGTGTTTCCTTTGAAAATATTGTCCGTGTTTTGCGATTGCTCGTACTTTTTATCAACTCTGGTTGTTTTTGTTCTAGCTGTTGTTCGGTTTCTTCCGACTCTTCTTCTATTTCCCCTAATTTTAATGTAAAAGATCCAGATGACCGTTTTTCGCTACTTCCTTTTGAATTTTTATCATCCTGTATCTCTTCTGCTACGATACCTAATCCCATGCTCTCGTGGACAAATGGCTTACTTACACCGCCAAGGTTTCTTTTACTAGATGATAGCACCGGTTGACTCGTTTCAGATGGTTGAGAACTTGCAAGTGAAGGTGATGATGGCATCTCATTGTCGCTTTGTTGCAATTCTCCAAGACGTGTACTTTTTGTTGAGAAATTTCCTGAAGATAAAATATCATTGTTATTTTGAGATTCTAGTTCAGCTGTTTTTTTTTTGGGTTCTTTTAAATCCTCTGGTTCAGAGGCTTCTTTTTCTTCATCTTCATCTTTCATTTCATCTTCCACATCCTCACTTATTGCGTTTAACCCTAATTTCGAAGGTATAGGCGGTGAGGTACGACCACCAACGTTATTAGAACCTGCTGCAGACGATGAATATTGAGATGATATAGGATTCGCTCGCAATGATGGTGACTCTTGCTATAGCAATGATATTATGTACAAATAGTAATACTTACTATGTGCGTTATTTCAAAAATTCAATCATAACATTCTGATATATTAAATACCTGCTGTTCCGATCCTTCTGGTCCCTCCTCTAAATCAGTTAGTGAATTGAAGCGCGGACTTGCCAATTGCATACGACGTGGAGAGGTAGGCCAGCCTTCCATAGCCATACGTCCTGACATGCTGCGTTCTGGTCGCGAAGTGTCTATTGAAGGTACTGGCAATCGATCGATTCGATTTGGAGGCGGGATAAACCTTGACTGGCAAAAACATATGAAAATGAGTCTTAATTCATTGAGCTGAAAATTTCTATGAAAATGCAATTGATCAAATGATTTCATAATCTACATTTGAAATTTTTATAATAAAAGGAATATCATTTAGAGTTTACCCTTTTGTGAGGAGACAAGACACCACTTAAATCTCCCATTGGTCCATTTCTATGGGTAAAATAAGTTTTCGGACTTGGATATCTTTCTTCCCTTATACCAATTCTTCCATCTTTGAAATTCCTTAATGGTGTGACATTAGAAATAGGCACCGGAGATGGATATAAAGATACCGATACATCTGAATAGTCATCTTTAATAGCACTATACGCATCACCTAATATTGATTTATCTGAATGAGTAGAGTCCAAGTCAACTGATAAGGATGGAAGCAAAGTTGAAATATCTGCTGAAGAATGTTCTGAAGAATGTTCTGAAGAAGTAAAAATGGTGGGTATGGATAGATTGATATTAGTTCTGCATGTAGGATTATTTGAAGTATCTTTGTTTTCACTGTTCCCATCACCTTCCCCAATCTGTTCTGTAGCTAACACATTGATATCTTTTTCTTCAAGAATTCTAGAAATTGCGTCTATATTATGATTATATACACGACGATTTTTTGTCACAAAACTGTCCTCCTGGTCAATCTTTTCCTCTTCCGAAGCCGCCAAATCTTTAATGTCCGATTCTTTTGACCCATCAGACGATGAGCTTCTGCTCAAAGTCGACGTGGGACGCAATAGTCGACTTGCCAATTTTGATTCTTGGATTGTAGTTACTAGCTCTGTTTTTTCCTCAATCGTGGATAATTTGCGGCTTGCGGGAGGTTGTGGAAAGAGTGACGAAGGTTGGTTGAGTGGACGATTGCTGTGACGAATAATCTAATTGGAGTTCTGCAGGTGAAAACTCATCTATAAGGCAATCAGTGTTACTATTGTCCTTTTGTTGAGTTTTCTTTGTGTTACTATTGTCCTTGTTTCTTTTTATGGGTGTGAAAACTTTTGTTGTAAACCAGTGTTGCTGACTGGAAGCTGGAACTCCACTGGGTGTCCAGATTTTTCCAGTGTTCCAGTGGTTACAGTGAAAGATTCTTTTTTCACTGGAACAAATGTTCGTCAACCAATAAAAATGCAGATTTTAATAGATTAATGTCGCCAACCGAAATCTGCAGATCACATGAATACATCTTTTTTATTATTGGCATTAACATGTGACCAAAAAAATTCATGATTAAAAGTTTAATTTTCGAAGGCAATAGATATATGCCCGTTTGCTAAACTATTTGGTTTATTTAATTTATAAGAAAATTTTATTATAGGCCATATATAAAGTTAATTTTTGATTCTTATAACGTAAAATTTTTAAAAAATAATCTGCCACCTGGCTTTTTTTTAAAAAAAAAAACTAAAGTTGTATTCGGATAGTAAATATATTTAAAATTTTTTCTCAAGTTTAGCAAAATTGATCTGGCTGGTTTATAAAAACCAATAAATTAACTTTGTTTAGCCTTATTTATAAAAGTTTTGCTATTTGTTACTATAAAATAACTACGCAATATAGTTGTGCTAAAACTTAATTTCTAATTATATATTTTTAATTATATTTTATATATATAGTACTGTATAACTATTATAATTATTAAATTTTTATTTTTTTTTTTTGGTGTTAAGGTGACCTCTACGGCTAGAAACTTTTTATTAGATTATTAACTCAGGTTACAATTACAATGAGGGTATATCAAGCCACATATATATATACTTTTGATACCTAATTTAAGTAGTCAGTCTGGGTTTTATATTAGCTACTATATCTGCAATCTAACTAGAAGATTATTTATTTAAGCTCTCTGGTTGTTACTAATGAGAGTATGACTAGCTATACATACAACTTTTGGTTGTCTATTTAAGTAGTCTATTCTAGGTTTTACACTAACTGTTATACCTGTATTTTAATTATAGAGATACCTATTTAAATCTTCTAATTACAACTGCCATCTATTTCTAATCTAACCAAGATGTAACTTACTATTCTTATATGTAGATTTTGTAACACCTGTAGATTTTATACCTGCTTTAAGATTTACTAGCTATTTCTGGCTAATCTATCTATGAGGTAAACCTAACAGAGTAATCCATGTCTTATATATGTTTTTACCTACATGTTTAGTAACTTTTTTTTTAACTAATACTTGTTGTATTGCTATTATCGAGTTCATGTCTCAAGCTATTCTTTAGAATACTACTATAACCCAATCCATATCTCAAGTTACAACCTTCTTAAATAGTTTTCTATTATATACTTCTTGCTCTTGTAAGGTTTATACAATTCTAGTACCTATATATATTTGGACTTTTTTTCTTTTCTGAATCCTTTACTAGTTTTTTTCTTACTTCTAGCTAGCAATCTGGAAGAGTTGGTCTGCCCAGACTTTATGTGCCTCATGGTCTTCCTCCTTTTAGTACATGTTTTTAGAGTATATGGGGGTAAGTTAATAGAAAAGGGATAAATTTTTTCTAAATAAAAGTTTTCTTGACTTTAAGCTTAAATATCTCAACAACTATTTTATTAAATTTAATAATTTTTTTTTATTTTAATTTTTATAATTTCAAGATTAAAATAAAAAAATTTTTAGCAAATTTGATTAAATAGTTGCTAAAATATTTTAATTTAAAAATTAAAAAAAGTTTACTAAAAATAATTTGTCCTTTTTCTACTGACTTATCCTCATATGTTCTTTTCTTCTAGTTAGCAACTAATGATTTAGCTAGTGTATTCTTTTACTAAAGAACCTGGTTGCTTGGTAATTTTAGTTTCTAGTTCCAAATTCAGTCTTTCTGTAGCACTATTGAAAGTTGTACTATCTCCCAACTCAGAACTTGCCAAATAGGTTTTTAGTTATTTTGGTTTCTTAGATTTATTATACCGAAGCTTATATTTTAGATAGTGTGACCAAGATTACAAATTAGAATCTAACTAATAGTGATAGCTATTAACCATATTACAAAGCTATTTTTCAAAAACATCATTCTTGAAATTCAAACTTAGACCTGCTATCTGGGAGTATAACAACTCCATCACTTTACTAAATCACTACACTCTGTTATAATTATTAAATTATTACTTATTATCTTTTAAACTATATTTCAGACAGATTTGTTTAGAATTTTGAAAAGTATTTACAATTTTTTAAATAAAATTAAAAATTATTAATAATATAGAGTATATTTTATATATA